AAAAAAAAAGAACTACTACAAATTATTTTGGCGTATTGCAATTTTTTCGCAATAATAAAGAGTAGATATTGAATTTTTTTGACTTCTTTATGTTTTGAACCTCTTTAACGAAAATTCTTGTTCCGCTAACGTAACCATGTATATCTGGAGTAGATTAAAGAGTATTAGTACTATAAACATTCTTTCTTATGCAAGACAAAATGTAATTCTTGTTGGAATTTTTTTACTTGTCCCGTATTTGAATAAGTATTGCAATTAAGTCAGCTAACAAGACGAGAGTCGGAAAAAGTGAAATTTGGGAGAATGATGGAGGAAGATTTCAGTCTTAGAAACTTCGTTGGGCTAAGAATTAATTGGGCCTGTTATATTCAGTCTTCTTGGACTATTGTTTTAATAGGCCCTAAATCCAGCTAATCTGAGCAATTAAATTCTTAGGGCTGTATATTCTTATGAACAATATGCCAATAAATATTTAGGCATTGTATATAGAACAACTTTCACATATAGCAAACACAAAATTTATATTTGTATGTTATAGCAAAGTTTGCATAATTGCACTCCGTAGCAAACATATATATGTATAATTCGCTATACATATACAAAAAAAACAGTTGTATAATTCGCTATACATATACAAAGAAGGCAGTTGTATAATTCGATATACATATACAAAAGAAAGCAGTTGTATACAAAAGATCAATTGTATAATCTGTGTATGTATAAAACGAGAAAGAGAGAAAGGCAAAAGAAGACTGGGCAGAGAAATATTTGTATTGTATAATTATAAGTGTATAGGACGAAGGTATATGTATTTGCATGTGTATATACAATTTTCTCTCGCTTTATACAAACAAAAGCGCAATTTATACATTTCGTTTCTATTTGTATAAGCAAGAGAGGCGAGGGTGGCGAGCGAGATCTGGGAGAGGGGAACGAAAATATATGTATATATACAATTTCCTCTCGCTTTATACAAACACAAACACATTTTATACATTTGTGTTTGTATAAAAGCGAGAGAGGCGAGCGAGATTGCCACCAAACGAGAATGGCGAGCGAGATTCCACCAGGGAGAGTGGCGAAAATAGCAATAGTTTGTTAAAGGGTACAATTAAATCAAAGTATATTTACAACATTTAATTTGAATTAATAATTTGCTATTATATACAATTTTCCCTTGTATATAAGTATATATCAATATCCCAATTCTATTTTTAGCTACATTTCAGAGTTTAATAGATATAGAACATACAAATATCTTGATGAAAGTCTCAAGGGGTGTCTACATCCATTACGCTTGATATATATATATATATATATATATAAATTATAGTTATCGAGTTGATTGTATGTAGAGTATTATAAAAGAATATTAAATTTCATACGTACTCTATTTTTATTGGCTTAAGGTTTTGAAAATCTATAAGCCGAGGTCTATCGAAATTTAAAAATAACCTCTCTACCTTTATAAAGTAGGAGCAAGGTTGCGACACATTATCCTCTCTCAGCTCCACTTACAAGATTACACTAGATATATTATTAGTAGTAGTAAAGTTTTGAATTTAATTTTAATTAGAAACCTTCAAATGTGATTAAAGTCTACTATACTTTTAAAAATTGCCCCTTCCAATAATCCAAGATGATATTTTCCTACAAGTAATATTGGTAGGACCACAAAATTAATAAATTTTGACACCCATTGATAAACTATTAATTAATGGGACAAGTGGCATTAATTAAGTGCAGAAGTTAGTTATTAATAGTGCACAGAGAGTCCATACAAAAACACTTAATAATTTCTTTTCATTTGTCTTAGTTTTCGTTAACACATTTACACCTAAAATTTGTTATTGATGTATAAGAGGTAATAAATATCCCAAATTAATTAAGATGTGTACCTGATTCAAACACCACGATTATTAAAAAAAATAATGGAAGCGCAGAAGTTAGTTGACAACTTGACTTAGCATTCTTTAATATTTAGTACATAATTGTGGCGTATTTTTGTGGATGTTACGTTTATGGGAAGAAATTCAACAATATAATATAGTTTGGTGATGCAGTCACTTATTGTCAACCTTATCAAGACCTAATAATATTGTTTTATGCACTATGATTGTCCAATCCTTTTTTAATATTGCATAAGTTTAATGCTGTAATTTATTGTAGATATATTTTAATTTTGTTGTTCCATGAACATGATGAAACGTTGCATTCTTCCTGGATTATTGGTGTTACAATTAACAATATCCCATGTTTCATGGTTTCAAAGATACTTATTCCTTAAAGCTTAGTTTAATTTTTTTTTAAAATAAATAAGTAACATATTTGATGTATATAGATTTGACTATATATTAAAACAGGTAGAAAATACATATGTGGATGATGATGAATCGTGCACAAATATTACATTTTCTATTTTAATTTCTTCCTAATCCTTTTACGTAACTTACGAAATTGAGAAGAAAACGTGTGGTGGATGGCATGACAGCTGGGCGGAACTAGTAGCTCGTATGCGGATTTGATTGAACTTAATAGATTTTATTTAAATAGTGTATTTGTATTAATAAATTTATTAAATATGTATAAATATTAAATTTAGAATTCGGTTATTATCATTTAAATTCATTATTATAAAATTCAGAACTCATAAAATTGAAATTCTAGCTTCACCTATGAATTGACCACCGACAGAGATCCTTTCTCACACACTCTAATAATAGGGGCAAAGGTTTATTTGAACCCTATTTGGAGAAAAATAACATAATTTATACATAATTAAAATTAATATTTATATATATATATATATATATATATATATATATATATATATATATATATATATATTAGATATTTAACTCTCTCTTTTTTCTCCATATTTTGAACCTTACATGAAAATCTTACCATTAGTGTTGTCTGATAGTTGCAACCACTTTACAGTTTTAATTTTTTTTATACAATAGAAGCACTACCATAAATATATGTAAAAAAATAATATAGTCCAATCTTATCCACATCCAATTAGTCTTAATAAAATCCACTAAATGGTGATAGTTTCAATTATTGATTATACCGGAGAATATTAGACATCCTCTATAATTAGCATATTTTTCGATATTGATGTTGATATCTCAGTAAATAAATATTGACGAGTTGTTTTAAAAAATATCAACATCTTATATATTTTTCGAATATGAAATATGCTAATGTAGCAAAAAATTCTCTATTTCCCAATTATACAGAATTTCTTAAAATTCAACGTTTTAAAGTGGAGTTGTAAATGATGTATTGATATTATATGAACATTTAAGATAAATTATGAAAATAATATACTAATAAAGTTGTTGACTCAAAAAAAGAAGTAAATATAACAATTAGCTCCATAGTCCATATCATCTTAATTTCTATGTCGTCTCATATAAACAACGTTCCACACACATGTTTGTTGTTTGAAAAAAAAAGGACATGCTAAGCTCTGATGCTATGCTTGAAGCTGATTGAGAGCAAGTTGGCGCAAAGCTCAAGATTGATTGTTGATCTCCTTGAAAGTTATATAAGAGTGTCAAACTACAAGATGATTTCTCCCGGGGAAAGGTCCTGTAGGCTGCCCAATTACAAAATATATTTATACCGGCTAGTGCTTAATCACTTCAGATTATATATAAAAAAAAAAATTCTTTTAAATTTCTCTAAGTTATGACAACCATTTATTCGATCTTAATTTAACCACATGACTATGATCTATTTTGTTTTTAATAGACGTCATTTTTTTCCCCATACATCAAGTAAAGACGAATTCATTCAATATTGGGTTTTAACAAAATGAAGAGTCCAAAACAGATGTAAACCATTTGTAAAACAAGTTGGCAATGATCGCCGTTCTACACCAAACATAATGTCTTCTTAGGTTTTTAGAAAATTTAAAATAGGAAGCCATTTTTCTTGGTTTCCCATTTAGGTTTCAATATTCATTTTAAGATTCGACTTTTTTGAATTGGCGTAATTTTTTTTTTCCACTTTGATTGAAGTGCATTTTAAAAATGAAAGCAATTTCATTCATAAGATTCGATCCCAAAATATCTAATCAAAGAGGAACAAAAGACTTATTAAAAATATATACAATATATTGAAATATCTTTAATCATGTGATTTTGAACATATCATTTGATGTATTGAAATAAAAATTTGGAATACCAAATTAAGAAAGAACCATATTTTAAAACAAACTTAATAAAATAATTAAACAAATAAATTGAACCATAATTTGATGATGTGTAAAAAAATGTCCTATTTAGTTTAGAAGTAATATGTGATAGAAATTAATTTAGGGATAAATTGTGTATTAAACCTAAGCAAGAAAAAAGAGGTATCATTTTCAAGTGGTGCATACTCCACTAATGATATATTTCCTTTTCAACAACTACACCTTTTCCAACTTCTTACTACTTGTCATTCCTACTTTACCAAACCAAAATCCTAAATTCATAGCTAGCGATTATAATTTTTGAAAATTCATCATCAAATATTTTTAACTTTTCCAAAATTGGTTTAAACAAATTTTTGAATTTTAGGATTTCTAGTTACACAATGCCAATTTTTTAAAAAGTAAAATACTTGTTAAACACAATTTTAATTTAAAAATTCCAACGCCAAAAACTACTCAATGTTTTAAGTTTCTTGGGTCCATCTCGAATTATTGACCGTCTTAAAAATACTCATATACTTGACTAACTAAATTTAGATACACTCTCGATCTGCCACATGATATAACAAGTGGTCTCAAACTCTTGGATAAGCATGAAACTCTTAATAACAAATCGAGAGAAGTGTTGAAAACATCCCTAAACATGACGAGAATTTAGGAGTATATTTCAATCATATTGCAAGATTTAAATATGTTTAAGACGGTCAATAGACCGAGATAAAAATAATAATTTGTTACTATATAAAAGATAAAACCCCACATAAGCACTTTCAAGTTTTCAAAATCCTCAAATCACTTTTTCCCCATTCTTATAGCTGCCTTTATCATTTTCAACTCCTTCACAGTTCATATTCCTTTTCCTCTCAACAATTCCCATCCCCTTTGCTTTATTAGTTTAAAAATAGTAATACTTTATACAGATTGGGAAAAAGCCAAAATCTTGTTCGTCAAGCCCAATATGCTTTCTTGAAATAGCAAAAAAAAATGGGTTGAGGTAACAGGAACTTGAAGAAGAAGAAAAAGGGTGTTGATTCGTGTTGTTGTTGAAGAAAAGGAAGCAAAAATGGTGGTAAGGAAAGTTGGGAAGTATGAAGTTGGAAGGACAATTGGAGAAGGAACGTTTGCTAAGGTTAAATTTGCTCAGAATACTGAGACGGGTGAAAGTGTCGCCATGAAAGTCCTCGATCGAAGCACTATCATCAAGCACAAGATGGTTGACCAGGTGGGTGTTTGTTTTTTCCCCCTTTTTTGAATTGGGTATTTGAAGAATGAGAAAAAAAAAACCATTGCAACTGGATAATCCATGGATGAAGCTTAAGATTTTAGAGTAATTATTATTCCTAATTTGTTAAATTTATATTTTGTAAATGCTCTATTTGAATTGTTGTATCAATTTATGGAATAAGTTTTCGATTAATAAATGTGATAAGTTGACTCTTCCAATTTAGATCAATTTGTGAAAGTATTTGAAGTTTTAGTTAATTGTTTAGCAACATAATAGAGTGGCTTTTACTTGTTATTTAGGATGTTAGTTGATTGACCATGGCATCATGAATGCGGGATTATCGGAAATTTGTGGGGCTGCAAATCATTTGAGAGGACCCAGAAAGATGAAATGATATCTGAACTCTGATGAACAGATTCAAGTTAGTTTATAGATCATTTTTTTACAATGTGCGCAAAATGCTGCTAGCTTGTAGTCCCACTTTAGTAGATTTGATCGCAGTTCAGCATTTCAAGAGTTCTTTTTGAATGTCAATTCCTAAGCTATTTCTTTCTGTGTAGAGATTCAAATTGTGTAAACTTGTGTTTGTGGTATTAGTTCTCAAGCATATGGTATGGAGACAATGTTTCAGTTTGGATATAATTTTTTTTTTTTGGTTCTCTAATAGGAGCTTTCTGCATTTTCATCTTGCAGATAAAGCGGGAGATATCCATAATGAAGCTTGTTAGACATCCATATGTAGTTCGATTACATGAGGCATGTGCCAAAACAAGTGCCGATGACTTTCAGTTTCCTGAAATTTGTTGCCTGTTTCACTTTTAGGTTACTGGTGTTGGGGAGATTTTTTTTGCTGATGTGCATTGCTGATATAAACAAATTTTGCTGTCAGGTTATAGCAACTCGCACGAAGATCTATATTATCTTGGAATTTATCACAGGCGGGGAACTGTTTGATAAGATAGTAAGTCCCACCTTAAAATGGTCAAGGACAAATGCAGATTATTTTGATTCTTCTTAAGCACTTAAGCACATATTCTCCTTTGAATGATTTCTGGTATGCATTTGTAGGTCCACCATGGACGATTAAGTGAGGCCGAGTCTCGAAGATACTTTCAGCAATTGATTGATGGAGTTGATTATTGTCACATCAAGGGAGTTTATCATAGAGACCTAAAGGTACTTGTTAACAGAATGTAAAATCAAGAGAGCAATAAGTTATTATGCATTTAAACGAAAATCTTACTGCCATTTTCCACATTGCTCAGCCTGAAAATCTTCTGCTAGATTCCCAAGGAAATCTGAAAATATCAGATTTTGGACTTAGCGCATCACCTGGTGAAGTAAGGTCTCCCAAAACACTACCTTTTTTCTCTATTACCAAGAATACAACATTATTGGTGTAAGTCTTTTTGCTGCTAACTGCTTCTGATAATGTTCTAATAGGGAGTCAACATCCTTAAGACGACATGTGGAACTCCCAACTATGTTGCACCAGAGGTAAGTTAGGCAGCTTCCATTATAGTAGTCTTAGTTCTTTGTTACATGTATATCTTTGAATGAGTAGTTTGATCATTGATATGTATCCTTTTACTTAAATATGGATTAAGATGTCCCTTTCATCCTTGTTATTGGAATTTTTTAGCAGGTTCTTAGTCACAAAGGTTATGATGGTGCTGTGGCTGATATCTGGTCCTGTGGTGTCATCCTTTATGTTCTGATGGCAGGTTATCTCCCTTTTGATGAGGTTGATCTCACTACACTGTACGCAAAGGTAGAAGCTTTGCATTTTCATGGTTGTGTAAATAACTTAAATGGAATTCCTTACATTCATCTTGCAGCAGTATGACATGATAATCATGCTGATATTTTCACATTTCATCACAGTAAAAGAACATTATTTTATAGTGACGTTTTAATTACCAACAAGTATGTTTGTATTTTTCTGCAGATTGACAAAGCAGATTTTTCCTGCCCATCTTGGTTTCCTGTTGGAGCAAAATCTCTGATACATCGAATTTTAGACCCAAATCCTCAAACCGTGAGTACTCAATCAGAGAATGTACACATATTATATTGTGCCGTTAAAATTATCTGTTTTGGAAACTTAATCCGTCACAAAGCCTTCAATGCATTGAACTTGTAAAATATTGCAACTTATCCACTCTGTGTAGTATTTATCAACAAACTTTTCAAATCAGAAGCAAGAAAGGAACTTTGGCATAAATCCTTTTCCTTTTCTCCTCACTTCTTCCCCCTCACACAAATTAAACCATATTTGCTCCCTCTGCCAGTCTCCTCTCCACTTTCTTCTTTTTTGGGTTCCAAGTCAAATTTCATTGTTATAGAGCTAGATTTTCTCAAAATAATATGTACTAGATGTCTATGTGACTTAAAGCAAGTCGTGCACTGGAAAATATTAAAACTTTTAGCTGTCTATACTATTCTCCATGACTTTTTCTTCTTTTTATATTCATTCTCCTCCATCTCCTTGGCTTCTCATCTAAACCTTACTGTTCCTTTTTATGGTTCATGTGGAAATGGGTGCTTCTATCTTCTGTTTTGTTTCTCTCCAATCAGAAAGAACAGGGAAAATGAATGGAAGGAATCAAGCAAAAAGATTTTAAAAAAAAACAAAAAATAAATATGCAGGTTCTACGTAGGGAAGTGGAAAGAACAATGAACAAACAAAGGGAAAAGAGAAGAGGGCAAAGAAAGAAACTTGTTGCTATTTGTGCTGCTTTGCTGCTCTGCATTTTTGTTATGTTTCTTTTATTCCCGTGCTCAAATTTCAGTTTTTCGTGATGATTCCCATTGTCATGGACCAAAGCAGCAATCCAGCAACTTCTTCCTTTTGGGTTTCCCCTTCCATTTTTCTTCTTTGTAAAGTTGTTATTGCTGACAGTATCCAAGTGTTCGAACTATTCTTATTTGCATTAGACCTTTTTCCGCACTTCCTTTCTTTGTCTAATTTTTCTATTTTGACCTTACATTTCTTGCCATCGTAGTACTAAAATATCTATAGACATAGAACAACTCAGGAAGACAATAATGGTCGTTTCGTGGAAAGGAAAAAGTTTAAAAGGAAAAGGATTTCCCTAAGTCTTTATTTCACCGTTATATTGACTTGGCTTATTTTTCCAAATAACAGAATTGTTAAGTTGCAACTTTTTGAAAGATCTATGGTAAGATGCTAATTTTGCTTATCGCTTCTTGAGCTATTTACTCACTAAAGTATTATACTCTCTATTACATGAATTCATGCTACCTTAGGGTTGCTTTTGGAGTGTATTAGCTGGGTGGAGGCTTAAAACGATATACAATAATGTTGACCATGAAGATGAATATAGTCTTCTACTAAACGAACATATTCCTACATTGGCTTATTACATAGTTTTTTCTCTATTTTGTGCAGCGTATTCGGATTGAAGAGATCCGTAATGATGAGTGGTTTAAAAAAAATTATGATCCTGTCAAAGTCATGGAGTATGAAGATGTCAATTTAGATGATATTAATGCAGCTTTTGATGATACTGAGGTTAGTAAGACTTAGGATTACTGCCTTTGCTATATAAAACATTTTGATGTTGAATTAGGAATTTAAGTGAAATCTTGCCACGGGTTGCTTGTTGGCAAGCTGGTAAGTAGCTGGCTGAAGCATCACTTTGTATTTGTTTATTGCTCAAGTTGAATGTCCTGTTATCATTAAGGTGAGAATGTTATTGTTTAATGTTGAGTAAGAAAACATATTGAACATATTGGGGCTATCACTTAGATTTAGATGATGGAATAGTTTTGTGAAGGTGCGTTCATTGTAACTTTTTGCATTATTCAGATTCTTTCTGAACTTTTTCCTCTGGAGAAATGGAGGATATGCACCAAAAAGTGAAAGAAAGTTCAATTTGATAGGAATTGTTGTAGTGTTTGGTATGATAAAAGTATTCCATGGAGGTTCTGGTTATTGACTGCTTAGTTCTTTGTTTTCCCCTATTTTATGGCATGTTATAATGTTTTATAGGAGGAAGCATCCAACGAGCAATGTGACAATGCGGATGCTGGACCTCTGGCTCTAAATGCCTTTGACCTAATTATTCTCTCTCAAGGATTGAACTTATCCATATTGTTTGACCGTGGGCAGGTATTGATTCTAAAACTTCTACCAATTTGACCATTCACAACAGGACTCTGTTATTTCTCTCTTTCATATAGATCAGATTTTATATAGTCCATTAACATATATATCAACTAGTTCTGAGTTGGAGCAATGAAAAGAGGCACATCTTGCTTCGCATTTTCAGCTTACCCCATAGCTTTGTTAGTTGCTTGTCATTATTAAGGTGCTGGTCTTCAACTTAGATAAATGAAATGTGGATGCTGGATTTACAGGATTCAATGAAGCATCATCAAACACGCTTCCTAACACAGAAACCAGCAAAAGTTGTTTTATCAAGTATGGAAGTTGTGGCCCAGTCCATGGGTTTCAAGACCCATATCCGCAATTTTAAGGTAGACACTCACCTTTTCTTATTAATAATGGGCATCTCAAGCTTAATCACTTGGGTTCACTAGGTCTCTTTTCTTTTCTTTTAAGTTCTATGCTGCTAATTTTCTTGGAGAATTCCCAAGGTTGGTCCTCATTTCTGCTTGTATGCATGTCTCAGATGAGGGTAGAAGGTCTCTCCGCAAACAAGACTTCACATTTCTCTGTAATTCTGGAGGCAAGTTCACATCTTTCCAAAGCTGTTTCAATATGTGTGGCACTCTTTGTGTGCTAGCTAATATTTATTATTCAACAGGTTTTCGAAGTTGCTCCTACATTTTTCATGGTAGACTTTCAGAAAGCAGCCGGTGATGCTAGTGAATTCCTCAAGGTTAGTTTAGTCTCATACATATAACATGATCCAAAACTCTCTTTGCTTCTTCCTTATCAAAATGCAAGTGCTTACACCTATACTGTTTTACAGTTTTACAAGAACTTTTGTGGCAATCTTGAGGACATTATCTGGAGGCCACCGGATGAATCATGCAAATCAAGAGTTACAAAAGCAAGGAGTAGAAAGAGATGATATTTTAGCATTAGAGAATCTGTGTGTACTTTGTGTTTGTATAAAAGATTACAGTTTCTTGAACCCTATAGGCAGTGAGTACACTCTTTTATAGTCGAGCCAAGTGAGGGGTAAAGCTTCCACGCTTTCCCCAGGTTTTGTATCAATTATATCGATGTGGTGAAAATTTATCATCTTAGAGCTGAGAGTAAACATAACAAATTTTTGCTACTTCTAGAGAAGAGTTTGTCAAGTTGATTATATTTTACCAGCTTCTGTGAAACATTTTCAATTTTCTTATTTCATGAATTTCATATGAACAACAAAGGCAATTGTTGTTAAATCCCTGACCTACCCAACATTTGAGCTTTAGCAACTAGTCATTGTTTGGAAAAATGTTGTCATACCAAACAAATATAAAGTATATTTTATTTGTTTTTCCTCACTGTTTCACCTAAGTTGATGAAACTTTGCATAAATCATTCAGATTTCCCAGGCAATGTAAATTAACCAAGATCCAAGAACAAAAAGAAGGGTCCCCTAGGTGTTAACTTTCTCCACAAGATTTGTTCTTTTGATATGTTGTGTCAATTGCATTGATTATCTTTTCAAGAAAAGCAGTGTACAGTTGACAAAAGAAGCAATAATGTGGTAAGGTGTGCGTACACTCTATCCTCTCCAGACTTCACTTAGTGGGATTTCATCGAGTATGTTATTGTTGTTATCTTTTCATGAAAAAGAACAAAAATCAAACCTTTGCCCCCTTAAATCCAAAAGATGGCATGACAAAACCTTGTGTATAACTGATACAACAATTGGAAATTTCAAAAGTACAGAGAACTCAATATAAGCCACTATTTACTTTTCTGATTTTCCTTTCATATAACAATCTACATGATCTAAATTCAGTAGATCAGTCAATGAAGTAGAGAACAGAGACTTGACAAGAAAAATGATAATCAAGAAATTAAGGTAAGTGAAGGCTTTGAGAAAGATTAAACAAGACTACCAAAATCGCCGCAAGAACAATGTCCATTCACAAATTTGTGAAGCCTTTTACTATCTCTAATGATGATTTTTCTTGAAGTTAGCTGTGAGATGAATTTCATAAAGCTGTGGCAATCTCTACACATGCTAATACTCTTAATAACTCGGATGGGTGCAGCACTCGGTGTGTTCAGCAATCCAAATGATACAGCCAACTTTTCACTGTGACGACCAATAGGAAAAGTTGCCTCATCATCTTCTTCGTTTTTGAGCTCCAAACTTGTGTGTAACTCAAATCCCATTGTACTTGCTTTGTCATGTAAATCACTTAAGAAATTATCTATATTTTCGTATGGAGGATTCAACTGATCACCTGTTCTAAACGAATGAACTTTGTCCCTGATGCTAATCCAGCTCCAATCCTTTAGCTTTCCGATTTTTTCATCTTTCATTAGCTTTCTCACCCTGGAAACATCCTTCCATCTCTCAGCTGAGAGGTACATGTTTAACAACAAGAAGTAAGCTTCTGAATTTTTCGGATTCAGGCTAAGTAGTTGTTCAGCAGCATAAAAACCTAGCTCTAATTTTCCATGGCTTCTACAGCCTGCTATTAGAAGTGACCATATAAACTCGTTAGGCTCAAAATCCATCTTCTTGACGAAATCAAAAGCTTCATCTATCCTACCTAACCTCACAAACATATCAATCAAGCATGCATAATGGTCCATCACGGGCTTAATTTTGTACTCTTTTTTCATCATGTCAAAGTATGTCAATGCCTCTTTGACCAGTCCAGCATGGCTACATGCCGAGAGCACTCCCACGAATGTAACCTTGTTTGGTCTAACTCCTACAAACCTCATATCCTCAAAGAGCTGCAACGCTTGTTTAGAGTACCCATGTTGTGCGAAGGCCGTGATCATAGACGTCCATGATATCAAAGTTCGTGTAGACATCTCCACAAAAGCTTTACTTGCCCTGTCAATGCTTCCACATTTATTATACATGTTAACTAGGGAAGTTCCCACTACAACGTCCGACAAAAACCCCGACTTAATAACCTGAGCATGAATTTGCTCCCCTTGTTCCAAAGCAACCAAACTACTACATACAGACAACACACTCGAGAAGGTGAATAAATCAGGCTTCATCCCCGAATGATGCAGTCTCAAAAAAGTGTTTAATGCCTCAAAACCGCTGGAATGTGCAGCAATACCGTCCTCTCCAAGATCCATCATTTGAGCAAGACCTGCAATCATCGCGTTCCATGTAACCAAGCTAATTGACTCCATTCCATCAAACAGCTTCTTTGCCTCTATAATCCATCCGTTTTTCAAGTATAAATACATTATTGAATTTGTTACTCTTAGATTAGAACCATACCCCAGTTTAATGCTCAAAGAGTGAATTTGTGATCCTATCTTTAAAGCCTGCATTATGCAACACAAACTTAGTACACTTGTAAATGTGAACTCATTAGGCTCCACATCCGCACAAAGCATGTCAACAAACAGGCTTAATCCCATTGCAGAATCCCCGTTATCTCCACAGGCAGATATAGCTGCTGTCCACGAGATAACATTCTTATCAGCAATCATCTGAAATGCTTTAACTGCAGAATCCAGATTGTGACTTTTGGAATACAAGCTACAGAGAGCATTGCCAATGCTTGTGTCATCCCCAATTTCATACTTCACAACATACGCATGAATCTGCTTTCCTAACTCGAAATGACCCAACAATGAACAAGCATTGAACGCAACACCTAACGTATAATTCGTGGGAAATCCACCCTCTTCCAGCATTTCTTGGAATACGCTAATAGCAACCTCCGGCTGTGAATTCTGAACATAGCCAGACATCAATGATGTCCAGGTAACAACATTTCTTTTAGGCAAATTATCGAATACCTTCCGTGCACTTCCCATCATCCCACATTTAGCATAAACATTGACAAGAAATGTCATGAGAAACAAATCTTCATGGATACCCATTTTGATAATGTGGCCATGAATTGCTTCAGCTTCTGAAACGGATTTTTTCTTGATACATTCTTGCAGAAGTGGAACATAAGAAGCTGATTCCACTTTTTCACTACCTTCTTTGATCAGTGAAAGTGCCTCTCTGAATTCAAGATTCAATGGCTCCAAAGCTTTATCCGAGTTTATGGGACTATGATTTTTCTAAATTAAACCACAAAACAAGAAGAACCATTATATATAAAAAAAAAAACCATGAATTATAAAGAAAAAAAAAACAGTCCAATGCACCAGAAAGTGCCGGACCACAAAGGTCTATTGTACACGGCCTGCCTGTTTCCACGGCTCGAACACGTGATATTCAACTTTATTAGTTACATCGAGACTCGACAATGGAATACACTAGTAATTAAAAGGATCAAGAACGTACCTTTTCGAAAGGCAAAGAAGTTACTGAGTTTTTCTTGAATTCATTTTCAAGCTTAAGGGTGTTGCCCACAACTACTGAAGGCAGAGAAGCCATGAATTCGCCACTGACTGTATAAAACTGGGAAAAGATTACTTCATTGTTCTTCAGTTTTATTTCATCTGAAATTGAAAAAAAAAATGTTATCTTTACTCTTTGGATGAAATTGAACTGAAAATCCGAACAGGGGAGACCCGGTAGAGATTGAATTTCGTGGACCCCACTCATGATGGGGAAAATGGATTAGGGCGTTAATCTTAGCGGGAACTATCAAATTATGGATAGTAATCAACTCTTTCGAGGGATATCGAATAATAAATTCGGGATAAAATATAAAATTATTTTATTTTGTGTTTGGTTAATAACATTAGTTAGCTCCAAAATTATTTATCTTATGACATAATTTTGTCTATCCCACCTACCATACCAAAATAACCCGTCATAGTTTTACTTTCAAATTGGAAGTCCTTTTAACAATCTGCCAAAGAAATACTCCTTCAGTAAAGAAATGTGATTAAAATATTATTTAATTTTGTGATCTTAAATATATTATGTGAAAAATAAGAATTAAGAATTGTCAAAAGGTGAAAGAAACTTATATTTTAAAATAGATTAAAAGCAAGTAAGACAAACAAATTAAAATTGAGAGAGTTTTTTTTATGACAAATTTTTTTTGCAGCCGCTACCCTTTGGTTGCGCACAGGGTAAACCCCTCGCTTCTATGCAATAGCTCGCAAACCACATAGAGAGGTAACCCACACTAGGCAAGCCCGATGCGACGAGCTCAACCCAGAAGGCAAACCCCTTGCTTCCGCTGGCAAGAGGTTCCGAACTTGAGACCTCCAACATGGAAGTCCCAAATTCAAATCACTGGACCACCTCGAAGGGTAATTGAGAGAGTATTAAATTATGTAGTTTGAATTTTATTTCACTAAAATAAGAACTCCAATAATGCAAGTTATTAGCAAGGACAAATAATGTTTATAATTCAATCAGGTTTTGTTGGAACAAATATTTTAATTAATTTTGAAACTCTTCTCAAGTTTTGATAAAAGTTGCTATGATTTTCAAAGTGAATATTTGCAAATTCATTAGTTTATATTCACTTCAATTTAGTGCATAATATGAAACATCATAATTTCATCTTCCTTTCATTTAGAGTAGTTGGTGGAAGTGAATATAATTTGAAATTCTACTTCATATTTATAGTCAACAAAAAGAAAGTATAGAGTTCCTGATTCTTGTTTGGTGAGAGTGCTGCATTACTGATGAACTGTTTTCTGCTCTCGACTATTTCTGATTCTCTTTATTTTCATCTTATAATATTTCAAGTTATAAATTAGGAAAATAGTTAAATATGGCAACTTGTACAAACATCGAATTATTGATACTTACAAAGGTAGATCGAGAAAGTATTGGAGATAGATAATTAGATAGGATATGACACAACTTCATATTATCGAAGACATGACCCTAGATAGGAAGGAGTGGAGGTTGGTAGGAGGTTAATAGGGATAGAGTATTGTCTTGCCTTAGTTACCCATCGTCATATATTGTGTCCTATGTTCCGATTATCACAGTACTTGTGCTATTATGCTTTCGTCATTGTTTTCTTTCTCTTGTACTTGAGTTTGATACACTTGAACAAATCTGCATACATTCTACCCTTCCCAGACCCCACTTAGTGGGATTTCACTAGGTATGTTTTCTTTCTCTTGTACTTGAGTTTGATACACTTGAACAGGTATGCATACATTCTACCTTCCCCAAACCCC